TGAAAAAACACGACATTCCTTAGATGTAATTTTTTTACATCTTAGATTTATTGTTTTGCCTAAATAGAACAGAAGGTTTCAGGCAGTCCTCACACCTTTTTGTCTGCTACTCCAGTAGCACAAGGGGGAGGCCAGAGCACAGACCATTTCTAGATGGATAGTCTCAGCTATTTGGTTGGGGTATGAACAGGCCAATCTATCATGTCCTCTGGAGTTTTGGGTGCATTCAACATGGGCACAGGCAGCGTTCTGGAGAGGCAGTCCCTTGGAGGACATCTGCCATGCAACAACGTGGTTGTCATCAGACACCTTCGTCAAGCACTATTCAGTGGACGCGAATGTGAAAAGATTCAGCAGCTGATAGAGCCATGCTGCACTCCTTGTTCCACTGAAACTCACCCCACCTCCAAGGTAAGGAGCTTGATAGTCTCCCAATGCGGGACTGCATAGAAGACTGAAGATGAAAAGAGTGTTGCACTTACCTGTAACTGTTGTTCATCAAGGTGTCTTCTGTGCAGGCACACATTCCCTTCCTCTTTGCCCCGCTATGAGTTCATAGGATGTAATTACATTCATGATGCTCGTGGCGGTTCAGGAGAACTGAGGGAAAGGGGGGCTCCTCCCTGCAGAGTATGTGACCGTTAGGTGGGAAGATCACTTCTAATGAGCTCTGCAGGGGAGGGGGTCCCCTTGCAGTGTTAAAAAGATGCCAGAATATCTGTAAGAGAGCCTCCGGTGGTTGGCCTGCGCAAGTACAGTCTGAATGTGGGACTGCACAGAAGACACCTCGGCGAACAACAGTTACAGATAAGTGTAACACTGTTTTATTCTGTTGGTGTGGATGTGGATGGTATACAACTCTCCCACCAGTTTCTGAATAAGGAAAATCTGTATAGTCTATCCAACTTGTAAGTACACACTTTAACTCTCCTGTTGAAATTCATGGAGCTTGAAACTGCTTTAGCAGATTATGCCCCATATTGGTTTAAATTGAGTAATGTGGAGTAATCTACTTACTACTGTAACTAAAGTACTGTATCTAAAAATAAGAAGAAACCTTTGGCTTGAAATTTCTAAGATTTCCCCTTAGAAGACTTGATGGCACAGAAATTGGGGGGGGGGGGATTACATAGCAAAGTAAAGGCCAGATCTCGTCAAATATTTGAGTCTACTTGTGGTGACTCAGTTGCCTCTATTCATGTGGTAGCAGTTTGAGAAAATGTATTCTCTGATGCATGTTAACTTTCCAGATTTTCACATGGCGATCTCTCTGTCTCTTTGTACAAAGAGTTCCCCACTTTAAAAAAAAGGCCGTACAAGCCTCACTATACTGCCTCAGATATCTGAGGCTGCAAATATAAATGGTCTGAGGTTGAACACAGTGAGTCTCAATTCTGAGTGAATGTCTAGGAGATTGAGTTCTACATCAGCTCTAAGCTTCTGCTGTTTTCTTGATGCGGTCATGCTGTACTGAGAAAACGGTTACCATACGGAAGCTTGACTGTGTATGAAAACCACTGCCTGTGTAATAGCTCCAGTTTTGTGTGTTTTTGTCCTGCACATGTAAAACACAATTTTATTGACGAGCTAGTTGAAAGAGGTTGTTGAATGTAGGAAGCTATGCAAAACACCAGTCCCGTGGCAAAGACTAACAGCATTCGTTCCAGTACGAGCTGTGATGAGTCAGAGCTCCTTTCCTCAGATACAATGGGAAGACTTTTGCAGTTTCAAAATGCTGTGCTAGGTCTGGAACAGAGGGTAACATTACACATTTTACCAAGATACAACAAGCTAACCAAAGGGACTTGTACTAGTCCAGAGAAATTGCTGGTTTCTTTTTCTTCATACAGCTGACCTGTTGACCACACCACCAGCTGCTTTTCACACTTTCCTTTGTCTTGAGGTTTTTTTTGTAGTGAGGGATGGAAGGCACTCTTTGGTTCAGGGAGCTAGCTTCACAGTTCCGTCAGTGCTTGTTTTCGCTTTCATAAACACATTTTTCCTTTTTGTTGATTTTGTTACTTAAACATTAATGCACTCCTAGGAAATATTTTTCATGTGATTTTTCAGCATGGTCTACAATATTTGCTGCTTTTTGACCCTGATCTCTGCAATGAGCATCTTTCCTTCCCTCTGCATCTCTTGCTTGCTTCCCAGCCTTCAGGATCATTTTTGCAGTCCTGTTGTCCCATAAGAATGCCTTCTGAAAAGTGGAGCATGGAGAAGAAAGGGAGAAAGTCTCTCTGGAACCTTAGATGGCTATGTGGCCAGTGCTCTAACTTTTACTAGAATTTAAAATCTAATATGGGGATCCTTACTCTGTTCCATGGAGGGGATTGGCTAAGAGTTTTGTTTTCTGGCGAATTCCTATGCTCTTGCGTTTTCATCTGATGTTTCTGTCTTTACAGCAGAATGGTAATTCAGATTGCTTTCCTATTTGTGCGTGTGTGTGGCCTTGATGGGTGCAAAGGAGACATATATTTAACATGTGTATGGAGCAGAGGAGTCTGTGTCTCTCTGATCGTAAATATGTCTTTGCCCTACTAGTCTTTTCTTAGTTGCTGTCATCACAGAGGGGCAGTGTTTGTATCTTAATAGAGGCAAACCTTGCACATACCACCCGAGATTCTTGGAGGTCAGGATAAAAATGTGACAGGTTCGGCCATGTCTAAAACAGGAATGCGTACTCCTCAGGGTAAGCGTATGCTTTTCACACAAGATTTTTTTCAGGCCGTCATAGTTCTTTCCTTTATCTAGTCCTTTTCAGTATGACTCTGTTATAACACACAATGGCAATGCTCTCGGGGGGGGGCAACGTCATCTGTGTTACCATTTAGCATAAATTAATTTTTAGTAATCTTTAGACTCAGTTACAATGATAATAAACTGTAGAAGAAGAAGAGGAGGAGGAGATTAGATTTATACCCCGCCCTTCACTACCCAAAGGTGTCTCAGAGCGGCTTACAAACTCCTTTCCCTTCCCCTCCCCACAACAGACACCCTGTGAGATAGGTAGGGCTGAGAGAGCTCTGACAGAAACTGCTCTTTTTCAAGAACAGCTCTTATCAGAACTACAGCTTGCCCAAGGTCATCCAGCCAGGTGCAAGTGGAGGAATGGGGAATCAAACCCAGTTCTCCCAGATTAGAGTCTACGCACTTAACCGCTACACCAAACTGTAGAAGGCTGTCTTAAAAATTGAGAAAAACCGTGCTGTGTATCTGAAACACTAAATGGAATAGCTGCTCCAGAGACCCCCCGTCCCCCCAAAAGCACTGCAGTTTAAATTCTGAGATATGGAACCTGATTGGCGATAGGTCTAGAAAACTCTTGCACATGGAGGAATATGAAATAATATTTGAACTCTGTCAGTAGATAAGAGATGTAAAATTTCTAGAAATTTTGATACTACGGGGAAAAAACAGAAATTTTAGAAAGGGTTGAAATATGCACATTACCTATTGTCCCATCAAACCTTAACTAATTTTACTGCTTTAACAACATAACATGCATCAGTTATAGTTTAGCACATGAAATTGTAATACTTGACATTTTTAAGGAATTTAAAAGATATTATCCCTTAGTTTTCTACAACCAAAATTGGTAATACACCCATTACTTGAGAAAACAGCAGGCTGATTCACCCTGTGATATTTTAGGGCAATAAGCTACTTGTTACCCAATCTGTGGATATGTGTTAGGGTAGTTTGAGGGAGAGGTGGAAAGTCAGCCACAAGAGAAGAGTCAGATCAAAAAGGACAACAGAAGGCATGCAACAATTGAACAGCAACGACAGCCCTGCAATGTTCTCCTCTTGAAGATTAGGTATCGTTCTAGGTACAGAAATACATCTTGGATTTAAGAGCTGTATATGTCTATGGCAAACCCTCCTCGTCTTTAAAAAGCATTTCACTCATTCTAAAGGATAAATATTTCATAGGAGTTGTTTCCAGTGTTTCCCCCAAATTCCAATTTTTTCCATTGGGAAAACTGGAAAAGGGGGGGGGGTTCTTGGGGAGAAAAACGTTTTTGGTGGAGTTTTTCCAGGCCTTCACATCTCTACAATAGATGAGTTTTCTCCCAAAGGCAACAATGTGGGTGAGAATGGATCTTGGCAGTGGCAGAGTCAATTTCAGTCTTTCCAGCATTTCACGTCTGTAACATGGAACTCACTCCTAGATGTGATTTGTGCCCCCCCCCCAATTCTTTAAAAGTCGTTATTTTTATCAACCTAAAGAAAAGTAGCACCGCTGATAGTATACGTCAGAGATCAGAGCATGGTCCTTTTGTGGGTCTTCAGTCACCAGTTGATGATGGCAACATGCCCGACTGTTCATAACCAGCAGGTGAATAATATAGATGGTGTTCGGTTCCATTTTCAGAAGTGGCACTGACTGGCCAGGGATCTACCAATTGATGAGTGAAAACTACCTTTGGTTATGTATTTTCCAAAGCGTGTAAATATTGTATTAACAAGAAAATTAAATGAAAGTGATATCGCAGAGCTAACTTAGCAGAACGAAGCTTGGCTTCAGTAGAAATCACACATTTAGTGGATATCAGTCGCACATGTTGGAGCTCCATCTGGCTGCAGCTTCTTTAATTCACAAAACTTAGAGCCTATGGGCACAAAATTTGTGCTTATCCAAGCATATTTCAGACAGCCTTATTCACTTATAATAAATATTTGTAAGTTTATGTTCTGTTCTTTTTCTCCATTGTAAATCTCTCCCTCCCCCCTCCCCCCCCCCCCCCCCCCGGTTCTGGGGGGAAAAATTAGCTTTCTTCACCAATTTTAGTTTTCTCTGTAGGAGAAAGCCACAGGGAATGTGGATAATAAGCGAAAATGCATTACTGAAGCAATGAAAGACTTAGACATTCAGTGTTTGATTTCTCGTTCATGGGAAATGTATCTTGCCTGTTTTGCATCTTCTTGTTGAATTGGTAGCTGTAATAAATGCTGTGATATTGATCACTTGTGGATTTGTTTACTTTGGCACAGAGTGAAGACAGCCCAAGTCCCAAGAGACAGCGCCTTTCTCATTCAGTCTTTGACTACGCAGCAGCCTCACCAGCCCCATCACCACCAATGCGACCATGGGAGATGACATCAAATAGGCAGCCTCCTCCAGCTCGATCAAGCCAACATCACTTCTCAGGGGAACGATGCAACACACCGGCGCGCAACAGAAGAAGGCAAGTGTTTGATAGTGGTTTGTTAGGCACGTCTTCCTGACCCAAGTTTTGCAACTACATAACCGGAGACACTGTAGTTTTTCTGAGCTTTCAAATCTGTTATTATTGGAGGTGACAGGTTTTTTTGCTGGGCATTATAATAATGTGGTTTGCTGGGCAATACAATAGTGTGTATGTATATTGCTAATTCGTTGGAAGTCCTTGAGGGCTCCTGCCAGGAATGTAGCATGTTATGTCAGTTGTTAAGTTGTAGGGACAACGTAAAATGAATTATTCTGTATTTTGCACAGGTGCATATGTGGGAAGATAATTTTCCTTTAACACTCATTACATTTAGCTCTTGGGTTTCCAAGTTAGTTTGGTCTAATTTGTTGTTGTTGTTGTTGCTTTTATCCCACACGGCTCAGAGGAACACACGGCAGAGTATGTGCAGGCCCCCCCCCCTCAATTTTATCTTCTCAATAACTCTGTAAGGTCAGCTAGGCCAAAATATGGGGGATTACTCCAGTCCCTCCCATTGAGCTTTGTGGCTGAGATCATCTGCAGGAAAAGCCCCTCAAGGCAAATATGTGTCAGGCTACTCTTGGTGGTGGTCACGTAGATTATTGCTGCTGTTAGTGGGAGCTGAGGAATCATTGTGGCTAAGATTGTGCTGTGCATTAGGGAAACCAGAAGCATATGCAGAATCTTGATAACCTCTGCATTCCTTCTCCTTTTTTGAAATGCAGCCTATTTCTGGCCTTTGTGACTATAGAGGTGGAAACATCCTGGCAATATTGGCTGTAAAGATTGAGAAGCAGTGCTGTGGGGGGGGGGGGTCTGAGTAAGGAAGGGCAGGGGCTTTTTCACCCCACATCTGGCACTGGCACTTTTCAGATTTGTGCCCAATCCTTTCTCCAAGGCACTTAACGCCCGCGTATATAGGGATTATCCTTTTTATTCACATTACCAATTGTGTGAGGTAAGTTAGATCTAGAGATAATGACTGGGCCAGCACTTCTTGGCATTTAAACCCAGGTCTTTTGGCGTAAGAGCAGCAGAGTTTACCTATGCCTTTCTGGTTTACATGGCCGTTTCTTCTAGGAGCTCTCGCAGTTGAGAGCCAGTTTGGTGTAGTTGTTAAGTGCGCGGACTCTAATCTGGGAGAACCGGGTTTGATTCCCCACTCCTCCACTTGCATCTGGCTGGATGACCTTGGGAAAGCCATAGTTCTGATAAGAGCTGTTCTTGAAAAAAGAGCAGTTACTGTCAGAGCTCTCTCAGCCCCACCCACCTCACAGGGTGTCTGTTGTGGGGAGGGGAAGGGAAAGGAGTTTGTAAGCCGCTCTGAGACACCTTTGGGTAGTGAAGGGCGGGGCATAAGTCCAATCTCTTCTCTTCTCCTTTGCTCACTTGACAGTCCAAGCCTTTAGCAGCTGTGCTTTTTGATCTCATCAGGGTGACTTCTCTCTATGTTGCCATGGGTTCAAGTTGCATGTTTTGCAGTATTGGTCTAGTTTCTTATGACCTTTTGAGCCCATGGTGATACAAAAGAAAGTCAGCCTACACCGTCCCAAAGTCATGACTACCACAGACTTTAAAGGTCATGTGAATAAGCCCTGAGGTTTGGAACTCTTCTGTCCTGAATGAGTTCTCTAAGAACCCTGATTTTGCACTGCAAAAGTGACCAGATTCATGCAGTAGTGAGTCACTTAAAGTTTACCAGGTGGCAGCAGTAGTTGCTGGGAAGAACCTGCTGTCTTTGGTCTCTTGTGTTACATGTTAAGTTCAGCTCTCTTTTCACTTAACGGCTGCACAGAAATCAGTGGACATATGCTAAGTTTTTGTATTTCCAGGATGACCATGGAGTTGGAAAGTACAGAATGGCTTGCCTGTCCAAGCTTTATTACGGCTTCTAAACAGTTACTGTCAGTTTGCATCCTAAGACAGCAGTATGAATATGCACAGTGGGTTTTGGCTGCAAGAAAAGTACATTTCTGAAGATCATAATCTATCAAAAGTTGCCATGTGTGAGTTTATAAAACCCCGTCTAATCGATTATTTACAGCCCTCCTGTTAGACGCCAGAGAACAAGAAGAGATCGATTGTCTCGACATAATTCCATCAGTCAAGATGAAAACTACCATCTCCCCTATGGACAGCAGCAAGCAATAGAAGAACCGCGAGCCTTCCACCCGCCGAATGTATCACCCCGTATGTTGCACCCAGCTGCTCATCCACCACAGCAGAATGCAGTGATGGTTGACATTCATGAACAGGTATGAGAAATGGGGAAAACGTGAAACAGTGTTTTAGGCGTCTGGTAGATGAGGCACATTTTTCTTATTTTAAAATAGGAGGCTCACTTCAACCCAAGAAAGGTTTGCTTTATAAATGTGTAAGAGTAAAAATGTATAGTGTAGAAGAGTAAAATATTAAATGTATAAGTAAAATATGACGCAGTTGTTTTCTGTTGCCCCAGAAGGTCAGCTCAGAACCAATGGGTTGAAATGAAATCAAAAGAGTTTTTGGCTAAATGTTAGGAAGAGCTTCCTAACAGAGCGGTTCCTTAGTGGAACAGGCTTCCTTGGGAGGTAGTAGGCTCTCCTTTGGAGGCTTTTAAACTGAGACTAGAAGACCTTCTGACAGCAGTGCTGATTCTGTGAACTTAGGCAGATCATGAGAGGGAGGGCAGGAAGGGTTGCCTCAGTGCTTAGTTCTTGCAGCCATTTCTTACACACCCAGGGAAATGCGATTGCCACTTTGGGGTCAGGAAGCAATTTTCTCCAGGCCAGTTTGGCCAGGGATCCAGAAGGGTTTTTGGGTTTTTTTAACATCTTCTAGGCATGGAGCAGGGGTCACTGGGGGTGGGGTATTTGTGAGTTTCCTGCATTGTGCAGGCGGTTGGACTAGATGACCCTGGAGATCCCTTCCAACTGTGATTTTGTGAAAAGTGGTTGCTCACCTCAGAGAAAGTACACCTCTGTGTCAGTGTGAATGGTGGTTCTGTGTGCCATCTTTGAAATTAAGGAACTCTATCTGGAATTAATTGTATGATGTAGTACTTCTTGGTACAAGAAGGTGGCAGAATGGTCTTCTTGCAGAGGGTGATTGGAAGGAACTTGAATCATTTGGCAAATTACAGTCTGCCCTCTTTGTACATGGACATGTACAAACTTAATGAGGCTGCCTTACAGCAAGAAGACTGTCTGATGCTAATTTAGCCAAAACTTTGTGTCATCGTGCATCTCAAAAAGCTAGCTTAGTATTGTGTACCCTGATATTGGCTCTCCAGGGTTTGTGGAACAAGGAACTTTCTTGGCACTTTCTGCATGATATCCTGTAGTTGGGGATGCCTGAGGTTGAACCAGGGACCTTCAGATGCTCTAGCATTGAGCCATGGCCCCTGTACTTCCCTCCTGGTTATGCTGAGACCAAATTATTTATCTCAGCACACTAGTGTGCCCCCTTCCCCCCCCACACACACACAAGTTGAGAATCAATCTAGCATAGGAGCCAAAGAAATTTTGAAGTATATTGCCAGTTTGGTGTAGTGGTTAAGTGCGTGGACTCGAATCTGGGAGAACCAGGTTTGATTCCCCACTCCTCTACTTGCACCAGCTGGATGACCTTGGGCAAGCCGTAGCTCTGATAAGAGCTGTTCTTGAAAAAGAGCAGTTTCTGTCAGAGCTCTCTCAGCCCCACCTACCTCACAGGGTGTCTGTTGTGGGGAGGGGAAGGGAAAGGAGATTGTAAGCCGCTCTGAGACACCTGGTATTCCTTGGTGATCTCCCATCCAAAAACTGACCAGGGCCAACCTTGCTAAGCTTTCGAGATCTGATGAGATTGGGCTAGCCTGGGCTATCCAGGTCAGGGCAAGATAATCTTACTCTTCTCTTTTTTAACCCCTTCCCAGTAACACAAGTTTTGTTTTTTTTAAACTTGAGCTTAGTGTAAATGGAATCAATACATTAGTGTAGCTGGCTACCTGTTTGGTGTAGTGGTTAAGTGGGTGGACTCTAATCTGGGAGAACTGGGTTTGATTCCCCACTCCTCCACTTGCACCTGGCTGGATGACCTTGGGCAAGCCATAGTTCTGGCAC